ATATATAAATATATATATATAAATATATATATATAAATATATATATATAAATATATATAAATCACACTGTTGACAAAAGCGTGAGAAAATTGAATGGTTACGGAAAGCTTTTTTATTCATTCACATACTGTTTTTATAGATATTTCTTTTTCCACGTATATTTTGCAATGACTCATGATTTTAAATGTATTAATTACAGTTCGAAAATACATATAAAAATATTTAAATCAATATCAAATAAATGTAACATAATAATAATTTAATTGCTCAGAGATTTAATAACTTTTTAACCTCAATTATTTTCTGGAAATGCAATAGAAATATCATTTCGTAAATTCTACAAAATAACTTATCTCAATTCAAAACACATACATTTGAATGAATTTATAAAAGTAAGCTTTTATGTTGTTTACCTCGAGTTAATTGACTTAACCGAGCTGTCTCATTTCTTATCAAAAACGAAAAAAATGACTCAAATTTTCCAAATTGATGATGCAAGTAAAAAATTCTTTTAAGTATAAAAACAGAGATAATGTATGTATGTTTCTATTAGTTGACGTTATTTTAAAATTAATATTTAATAAGAAAAACATCTAAGTAAGTATTTTATAAATAAAACAATTGATAGACTAAAGTACAATTCATAATTATTTGTTAGGAAATATTATTAACAACCAAAGTATTGCTCATGCTCATATCTCTAATGTGCGTACTTGTACACAAACTTTTAAGTGGCACTTTAAAGAAACAGTAATTTTGTATTTTTTTGTTTGCATGTTCATGAAATAATGACCCAAGTTCCAAAATAGAAAATCAAAACAAAAGCAAAATTAAAAAACCATATGATCGGAAGATCGTGAGGTGTTGGGAAACACACAAAAAGCGAGAAAATATCAAACGAAATAGAGCGAAACGATCAAGACACTTTAGAGCCGAGGCAAGTGGAGGCAAATCAACTATTGTACAATAGCACCAATAATTACAACAACAGACACTAGAGGTTAGCATGTTTGGAATTGGCATGGAAGAGTAGACTTAACAACGCAACGCTAATTCAGTGAGTCATGATGACAAATATGTGTAGAAGCAGTGGAGTATACACTCCAATGACAGTGCCGATCCACACCAAACGCTGAATGTATTGCTGATGTGTTGTCGTTCAAGTAATATCGTTTAAACTTACATACATAATGTGTATAAAGTGAATGAGTTTGGTAATTTTATAATTTTAGGTAGGGGGGACGAAACCAAATAAGACAAGATTTTTAAAAATATTCAAATAAAAATGGTAATGGTAATTTTTTATAGACAAGAGTTTTTTATATCTATTGGTCATGCAAATATAAAAAACTGACCTTAAATGTAGGATGGATGAACTGAGTATTTTTTTTTGGTAATAATTTTTTTAAAAAAATGTTTATAGCATTTAGTTATTTTACTCTATTTATTTCAATATATCTTACATTTTTTATAGATCAGATACAGTGTTATCTCATAATGCAAAAACATCTACAATTACTTTACAAAGTTTGCTTTTTAACAAAACGATAGGGTAAGTATTCTGGAATAGCTTTTAATATTATGAAAACTTTTTATTTTAAATCTATTTAGAAAGCGCCTGCAAACGGTGGTGACACTAGAAAAATTTTTTTAAGTTGATTTAGAAATCATTTGCAGAACCAATGTTCCCTATTGGTCTAATAGTTAAGATATACACCGGTTATGTACAGTTCACATGCCCGCTATATAATTCTGGGAATACTGTTTACTCGAGTTTGCTCAATTATAAGATTTACCTAAAATAGATCCGTTGGTTAGTGGGTTGCAGTCGCAAGTCACATCAGGCAGTTTCCATGTGCCGCTATCAGCAATTTTTCGCTGTTTTGCTATTATATTCCTCGCAAGAAACATTAAGATTGAAGAATACAGACTAAATCCTTTCGAATTTAGATAAATAGATCTTTTGTTTTAACCAATGAACAGTCTGATAAGCTATTAAAGAAAAACCTCCCTAAACTGTTAAATGGTTTCTTTTTCCAGCAAGTTTTCACGCCGATTATAAGACTCATTATTATAAAAGGATTTTACATTTTGTGGTCTTTCTTTGGAGGCACTCTCTGGAGACACTTTCTTCAGACATCGAGACACCACATATTTTTTTAATGTTGACCATCTTACAGTATGTATCATACCGTTTACCGTGTTCAAATTGAGAAAACTTTTTTAAAAAATTTTGACGATTTCTCGCAGCGAGAAATTTCGTTAGTGAGGAATGTGGTTGATTTTTTATTAGATGATATTTTACCAAATGAATCCGTTATATATTTTTTTTTAATAATCAGTTCTTATAACTCCAGTCATATGGGTAATTGTCGAAAGACTATCGCAACCACAAATAGTCGCTGTTTAATGTGGCATTTGGTCTGAAGCAGAAATAGATTCAAAGGTTTTTGCAAATAAGAAAGCTGTGTCAGTTTTAATCGTCAGAGCTGCATAACTAAAATATATTTTTTGAGTTTCAATAGGACGGTATCGAAGTCACAAAACACGTTCGGTTTTAGCTTTGTTCTGTGAGAAATTTCTCATACAGACTCATACAGATATTTCTCATATAGAGTACATTTAAGTGTTGTGAAATTGAACATCAAGATTATTTCCAATGATGTCAATTGGAGATCTTTTGTAGGGATACACAAAAGATCATCTAAATGTGGACAATCCTCAAACTCTCGATGATTAGTAAATAATTGATGCTAAATTATTGTCTGAAAGTAGGTCAATTAAAATAACCCCAAAAGAATCCATCATTGTACGATATGGAGAAAATTTAAATTGTGTTGTAGTCCTGTACCTAATGGTAAGGTACACAACTTATACTGAATTAAAATTAAATGGAAATACCATTCATTAAATGTGTTTTATTTGCGTTTACATTTGAAAGCACAAAATATAAAATTTTATTGTTTTTATTTAAGAAAATATATTACTTTTATAAAATATTGCTAAAATATGACTACAATTTCAATATGACTACAAATTTGTGACAAATCTGCTTATTATTAAGATTTTCCGAAAAAGTCTACTTTATTTTTCTCTTTATTAAGTTTAAAGTTTTTTATTTAAATGATGTATAAAAAATTAGCATATAACATAACGCTAAATATATAGGTGATATTATCATACAAATATTAATTGTGATTATACTGTTTAACATAATTATGCTATGATTAAAAAGTATTAATTAAAGAAATGCTAATAACACTCTTCTGCCTTCTTTTTTCTATTGTATTGGTATGAGCAGATACAATAGAATTAATATGGGAACGTTCACAGATGTTGAAACCTCTTATGACTGCAAGACATGTGAGCTCAAAAAAAAACACAAATATATATTGCTTAAAGACATTTTTAATAGGTGATATATAATTTAAAAAGGTTTGTGTAAGACTATAGTGAATAAAATATAATATTTTTACATAAAAGGCTACAAGTAAGCATTTCAATTCCATCACAAATGTTCTTAGTATGAATTAAAGTAATAATATGATTAAGAGGCAACTATTGACAGAAAATTATTGAGAAAAAATTCAATAATTATTCAGGCTAAACGCTATATGAGTGATTATATCTGTTAAATATTTTATTGTAAAAAAATGTTGAATTTTGAAATGTGATTTTAAATGCTAGAAAAAAAAAACATTAAACGATTATAGTCATCTACTATACACACTTTATAAGATTTGAAGATATTCCATAAATTTTTTTGTCGTACTAATTGAAACTATGAGTAAAAGAATATTCGAAAGTTCGTAAACATCGAAATTGTAAATTACTACTACAAATATTGCAGAATAAAAATATTTACTAAATCGAAAATACATTTTTGTGGTTAAAAATGTTTTCACTATGAACAGAATAAATAATAATAATATAATAGAGATATAAGGCTACTAGATCTCAACATAGCTAATGAAAGACATATTGAATTAGTTGTAATTGATAGAGATCAATAACTGTTTCAACTGATAATGAAACACCAGCGTAAAGTGCACTTCGTCTAGAATGCATAAGATATCGCCAAGAGACACCAGAACAATGTGCAGTTTGTTTGGAAAACATGAAAACTTTTATTTACTTGCAGGATTTGTAGGGAAGAGAATGAGATCTTAAAACACATGCTTGGAGTCTGCCTGGCTGTGAATCATTCACAAAAGCTGGAATAGGATCAATTCTCAAATTTTATGAAGTGGATACTAATAATAATGGTAATGGTAATAATAATGAAAACTTATCGAACGGTTGACAAACACAACAACTATCATGTTAAGATAAATCGTATTCATACAGCGCTTTCTATTGCGATAAACAGACAAAATTTATATGGTAAAGTATTGGTTTCTCAAACCGTACTCTTAC